AGGGCTCACAGCCTCCACTCAAGCCCAACCCAATTAGCAAACATATTGACAACAATCCCTGCATCTCTGTGCGCCAAAGTGGCCCTCGCCCACTTCATGCAATTTGTGCACAGGGAGCTGGAAGCAGTTGAAGTGATCATCAATGCGATATTAGTTTACATATGGCACTCTATTATTTTTGTAATATTTTAAAAGTTAGCAAGCAGCTGTGAACTGAGGCAGTGATTTCTTTCCGTGCAGCTATGTGAAGGCGTACGAAAAGATCTCCCGCATAATCGACATGATGGCTTGGTTCGGATTGAAGGAGTGGAAGTTCGCCCATCGCAACATTGACGAATTGAACGAGCTGCTGCCACGCGAGGAGCGTTCGGTGCTGCAGTTCAACATTGCGACGATTAATTGGAGCGAATATTTCCGCTCATACCTCAGCGGCATCAGGCGCTACTTCTTCAAGGATAGCGCTAACGATAATAAATTACAGCAGCGCAAAACTATTTATCGCAGGTGGGTCTGACTCACCAGGTTGGCCGAAGGAAGGGTCCTTGGTCCGTCGCTAAGTAGTTTTTAATTACACTTTGTTTACTGCCTTTTTGCATGCTGCAACTGGACGCGCTCAGGATGCTCGTTTTGCACACGCTGCTGAAGACGACATTTGGTCTTTCATTAATTATGTGCATGCTCAGAGTTTATCTCAGGATTTTTAAGATGCTGCCAAAGATAGCGCTCTGAACGGGCGTCGTTACAAGCTGTAATCCTAATAAAATTGTGCGATTCTTAAAGCGTATCCGACTCTTGTCTGGCATTACTCATACGCCGTGTGGCATGCAACTTTTGACAACTTTTTCCCCAGCTTGTGCACCTCCTTTCGCGCTGATAGACGTCTTAGTTGGCCCCTCACGGTGCCTGGTAAGTAAAGTTACCTTTTCCGAACTTTATGCGAGCGTTTTTTCCCCTGCTATATGCAGTGGGTTGAGGTATTACTTATATACATATACATATATATTTTGTTGTCACGCTGAGGGCCGTGAAATATGATGCAATTTCTGGCGCGATAAAGTTGCAAGGACGCCGCGATCTCGAAGCGCATCAAAATGTGAGCTGTATGTGTTGACTTTGAGTGCGGGAAAGTTAGCGGTCGCTGTGGGCAAAGTTCCAGATACTCTAACCCGAGGAGACTTGGGGATTGATGCTACTATGCTAAGGAAACAATCAAAAATTATAAATCTATATAAAAATATTTAAAAATTACGGCCAGCAACCATAAGTATACCATAAATGATGGAACTAAACTTAGTATTTTGCTTAGGCTTTCCCAATTGTGCAAAAAGGTTTACATTTTTACCAATGAGGTAGAATAATATCAGTGTAATATTAGGGTATTGTTGTCCAACAAACCGCCAAACAAGACCGTGTAGTTTCCCAAGAAAGAAAAATGGCCCAGAAGTGAAGTAAACAACTAACACACACCTACCATCGGCGACACATGTAAGTGGATGTGTGTGTGCTGGGGCAACATACATATATAATTTTAGTTAAAAGTTTTATTTCTCGCATATTTCATATTCTTCGCTGCAACTTTTTTCCACCTCGAGCATTTCCTTGTTTCATATTTCATACCGAAAAAGAAGGACAAAGAAAGGGACAGAGGCTGCGAAAAGCTGGCGCGAGTACGCGAGAAGAGCGTCGCGGCGCATTCATTATTGTGTAATATTTTTACATTATTTTATTATAAATCAACAAAATGCACTCAGCGCGGCAGCACACAAAAAAGAGTTAAAAGTTGCAGCTGCGTCGACGCCGGCAGCAACTGCAACTTCTGCCGCTGACAGCAGAAACACATTAAACGTCATAAAATGCACAACGCAGCGAAAAGTCGCCGACAACGAGGGGGCGTTCAGGCCCTTTGCCTTTATAATTTATTTTTGCTTGAATTAATGTGAATACTTTTTACCACTTGGCTGCACCGAGTTGCCCCAGCTACCTGATAGTGCAGCCTCCAGCTTCCAGTTTCCAGTTACCAGTTTCCAGCTTCCACTCGGTTCCCAGCCTGTGCCTCCTGATAAGGTGAGTGCTGCAGGAGGGCCCCCAAAAATACTTAAATAATGGCATAAGTGCATCCGAAGACTCCCGAAGGACACGTGGGCAAAGTCGACAGCTCGGGCTTAAATATATCGAATTCTGCTAATACCAAATCAACTTGATTGAAACTTTAATCAAGCGAACTATAATGATTCATTTTTATAGCAAAGTCCTTCGTTGCTAAAAATTTTCGATCAAATTTAAATGAACTCTGTGCCAGAGAAATGCCGAATCAGTTCTAGTTACACAGTCAGCTTAGCATAATTAGTCCGGTCATGCTAATAGTCGAGCGTTGGACGGAGCGGAGCCAAAAACTCACCGACCAGTGGAAATATGCAACATCATCAGCTGTCAACTGCCAGCTGCAACATGCAGCATCAGATACAGATGCAGATGCGAGCATGCAAGATGTGCAGCGAGTGTTGATAATCAAGTCAACATTAGAGAATGTCCGCTCATGCGGACACTGAGCTGCTCATGGGCGGGCAATGCGGCGTATGAGCAATATTCCAGCAGCAGCAGCACTATCAGCAGCAGCGCCAAAACTCGAACAAAACCAATAAAATTATTGAATGGAACCCAAGCATAAATCACAAAAATTCAGGACAGGCATGCTAAGAATATTTAGCATGTTGCTCGCCCGTGTTCTGTGTATAGATTTTTAATTTAAAACAACCTGGCCGAAGGTAAGCCTGAGCACCTGTGACTAGGGAAAATGCCCTCGAAAGGCCATTAGTTGTTTGTCCAGGGCCCAGCCTAATGTCCTCTTGTCAAAGTCCGACCTCAGACAGAGGCAGGACACTCGCACTCGCAGCACCAAGACACTGAGCGGAAATTCCCCAAACACTAGATAGATAATTCAGTAAAAGATAGAATAAGAAACTATGTTAAAGTTAGCTTTGATCGAATTATAAATAAGCATTTAAGGATATTTTCAAGTGCCATGCCTTTGAAAAATATGAAAACTATTATATTGCAATAGAACAGAATTTTGCTCTCAGTGTGACTGGACGAGCTGTGCATGCAAAACGTAGCAAGCAATAAAGAAGATTTGTGTCGCCGTCGCATTTTGTGGATATATTTTTGCCCCCTTCACATTCTCTTCTCTTCTGCCACTCCTCGTACTGCCCTTCTTTTTTATTTGCAAATTCTGCAGAAAATCTCAGGCCGGAGTAGAAGTCAAGTTTGGTTTGGGCTAATGACCACAGAATGGCTGCTGGATGCAGTCACTCAGGCAGGTCCTTCTGCATATGTAACTTGGACAGGGAGGAACTGCGATGGAGGAAGGGTCCTGACCATGTATTGCACAGGTGATGTGCAGGACCTTTAATGTTGCCACGGAACCTGGAATGTACTGAGCTAAAATAATATTCAACAACAAGAATTATAACAAGAATTATATGATTATATGATGATTATATAAATCTGATAGTTGGGCGTGTGGAATCTCAGCAAAAAACCTTTACTAAGGTACCGAAAATATATTAACTAATTATTGGAATTTGATGGCCACCTTTTCAATTGACATTCTGCAACATGTGGCTACACTGCGATTGCAAACTCACCCAGTACAGCAATTATTGATTGGGCTTCCCCACATTTTTTATTTCTGTTGAAATCCCCGTCAAGTCCAGTCTGCCCATTAAATTCTCCGTTTGCCCGGCCAACTCAACTTTCAACGTTTGCTCCCCGAAGATTACCGCAAATGCACAATGGTAAAATAATCATAATTGCATATAAAATGTTAATGGGCAATGGACCACGACCCAAACGGCAGCGAAAATGTTTTGGCCAGCTCCTCGCCCTCCAAAAATGGGAACTAAAATAAAAAGAAAAATGCGGAAACTTTTTAATACACCAAAGGACACATTTGGGCCCCGCTTTTCCACTCCGCCCATCGAATGTGTGCGCCGCAAAATGCAAAAACAATTACGAAAACTTTGTTGCCGGGCCCAGGATCTGGAAAAACAAGGGAAAACTGAACTGAACTCCAAACCAAATGTGGGAAATTTCCCAAGCACAACTTTATGCTGTTTTTCTTTCGCCCCCAACTGGCTCGTTGCTCGTTGCTTGTTGCTTTTTATTGGTTATTTGTTGGCATCTTTTCAGCGTTCCTCTTTTTTTTGTTTGGATTTTTGCTTTCATGTTTTCATTGCTCAAAAATGGGCGAAGGGCGAAGGGCGATGGGCGATGGGCGGAATGGCAGCGGCCAACACTTAAATTTACATAATTTCCGCTTCAAGTCGCCAGTGTAAAAGCTTTGGCCAGGATCAGCTGCTCTTGGTCCAGAGGCAGCCGTCCTAACTTGTTTCCCCCGTCCATTACGTTTTACTTTTGGTTTTTGCTCCTTCGCAAGCGCGGAAATGTTGGCAATATTTTAACGCTTCTATTTAAGCGGAATTTCCCACCGTGTTTTCTGGCCGAGCTCTTGTTTTTTGTGGTAGACCTAACACGTTGCCGACTTTTTGGCCTTTGGCAAGTGCACGAACACGAGAACGAAAACTAAAAGTGCAGCCCAACTTGTTGGGGCCCCTAATACACCAAGGGCAACTATATAGACGCTTGGCAATTATGGCCACGCCAACTATTTTATCCCCTCTCCACAAAGCCAACTGAATTGCGAGTCCATCGAGTGGTTCCGTGAAATACGATAGGGGTCCTGCAAAACTGAAAGGGTTGGGCTAAATCGATCTGCTTCGCCATTTGAAGTGTACAATTTCCTCAGGTGGTGGAATCGTTTACAATCAAGCAATATGCTTTGGAATATAAAGCTTAACCCTAAGACAGAATTGCTGTTAAGGATGTTTAATTAGTAAAGCATAGAACAGGTCAAGTATTTTTATGAGCATTTTCCTTATGCCGCTTATGCAGTTCATTTGCTTATTATTTTTTATCAATATATCTAACAGATGGCCCGGCAAAATGAATACCTCGAAATTGATTCAAAATGTTTTGAAATTTTAAGTGTGTACACACCTAGATTACCACTATACATCATTAAGTGTTTCATTATTCGGAAATTGTATGCCTAATGTATGAGATTACATCAGTGTGGTTCAGTGTTAAATAAATTTCCTAATGCTTCTATCTCCGTAATAATTTTAGTAAGCTACGGTCTCTCTAAGTCAGAAAGTCAATCTTGACATTGCAAAAATTTTCGAGAACGAAAGCTAATAATTAATTGTCTTAGTGCAAGCAAAGATATATTGGTTAAGGATATTGTGGTAAAGTTGGCAAATGAAGAGATGAAGGACGCATTGATCCCAAATTCTTCTGCCAAAGAGGAAGCGCTCGCAGGTATGTACATACAGCCAATTTGAGAAGACACATACAAAGAATATCTTTTATCTTTTATTTAAAATAAACGGGAAGAGTACAACGGATATTGATTACTATCCCACTTCCGCTCTAGATGATTTTCAGAAAACTTCTCCGATCGACGAGGGCAATGGTAGCGCTGAGAAGCAAACCGAGAAAGACCTTTCAGCTCTTGGAATTGTTTCTTCTGAGCCCATCGATAATGCAGAACCCGAGGCTGCCAATGTCTTGGCTTCTCGCCTCGAGATCTCTGACGACAAAAAGGTTTCCATGAAAACCAGCAATCCTAGCAAGCAACAGAGCAAGAAGAAGAATCACAAATATAGCCATGCTCGCCAGTTGCTCCACGCCTTGACCCCCAAAGATTCCGTGATGATTCTGAAGGACTTAAAAGGCGTGACCATCGACACCATGGACATAAAACGGGATCACGAGGGAAAGATTGGGGCCCGCCTTGTTGTTAACTCAATGGAATACCGTGCGGTGGGCTCTTCCGTAAACTCAGCAAGGACTGCCGCCTGCGAGCAGGCCCTGAATGACATCTTTGTGGCCAAAATGAAAGCTCTGTTGGCCGAACCAGAAAGGGATTTGGGTGGCGATGAGGATGATCTACTCGTAAAGTTGGCCTCTTATGCCATACACAAGCTTTTTGAGCAATGGAGTAACCCAAATATTGATGTGGTAGCTCTGTATCATGACATGATGAATAAGCAGAGGCTTGCAATCTATACAGTCAAGGAGTTGCCAAGAGAATGGAAGTCTATGCATCCTTGCGCGGTTCTTAACTATATGAGCCCTCAGTCCGTATACAAGAACTTGGGTTTCACTGGCAAACCCCCAAATGAAATCTTCACTATGGGCATATCTGTGGACGGCAATGAGTTCGAAGCTAAGGGGAGATCCAAGAAATCGATCCGCTACAAACTGGCTATATTAGCTTGTAACAAATTGTTTGGAACCGACTTTCCTTTATAAACCAAATGTGGTATATTTTCATATACTCTAAATCAAACATCACATGTATGCGGTTACTTAAAAACTTGGTACCGTCATTCTCAATAAACGTCAAACGAAATACTGATGTGCCAATAATAATCTTTGTATTCATCGGTTGTTGAGGAAATTGTTAAAGGAATTGATATAGTTATAGTCAGCATTATGTGCACTTCATTTGCTTCTTGTTTTAATACTTTGTTTGAAAATCCCTTTTTGCTATGAAAAAAAGACGTTTGATCAATCATTTTCATTACATCACCCCAGAAATTATTTCCTATGCAACTATTTGCATTCACATTTCATGTTCCATTTTCCTGCCAGTCACGATGGAAAGACAAACAAAAAGGCGAGAGGACACAGATCTTGGATATTGAATTTAATTAAAAATGTTCATGACAGCTCAACCAGCTTATTATCCTGTCATGCTGAGCTAGCAAAAAAAAGCAGTGTTGAATAAGAATGGAAGGATATTTCAACGAACGTAATTGAATTTGAATTGGAATGGTTCCGCTGGAAATGGAAGTTGTTTAACTAGGCAAAAAAGAGAGAACGAAAAGTGTTAATTTTATTACACGCTTCATCAATATCCAGCTCATTTCCGATTGGGTTTATTAATGCTTCCTCTCCCTAATGGTTCGTCCTGGGAAATGGCTGGGCATCCGCGTTTAATGACAATTAACATTTTTCTAATGGCCGGCAATTAGGGGAATCCCCGGGCTTTAAGCAAGATTTATTCGAGTGAAGGGAAGTCCGGGAAAACCACTTTCTGGAGCTCAAGTCGAAGCCAAGTTCTCGCACAATGTTGGCCTTATTATTACATTGTTTATGAGAGCTCCTGCTTCTTGGCTTTCTCCCCGCTCAATTTATTGTTTTGTGTTCTGTTGCTCTTGTTGCTGGCTTGTTTTACAAGGCCGTCTCGCCATGTTCACTAGTGTATGTGCCTACCCACCACCCACCACCCAGGCCACCCCCTTTGCGGTCGCAGCATCTTGCGTCCGCCTTAAGTCATATTTCCTTATTATCTGGGCGGTTTTGGGCTTGGTTTTTGCGCCGCCCCTTGACTTTTTTGCGGTTGACCTTACGAAAAAATGGAATTATTAATGGCCTCGTCCATTTGCTGCTAAGTGGCGCAAATTGTGTGTTTGTTTATATCATTTGGCAGGCCAGGGAACCTTAAAGATTTCTTCTGGTTTGCCTAACTACAGTTTTGGTGGCAACAGTTTATGGAGCGCATTCAACCGTGCTGCACGTTAATGACCCGCAAAGTTTTAATAAAGAATATACATATTTTATTCTTTACATATAAGTATCGAGTTTTACAGAAAAGAACTTTATTCGGAAATTCCAGAAACCTGGTGTAAAAGTAAGCCAAAGGCCTGCCAGTTATAGCTAATTAATAAAAAATAATCATCGTGCTTTTCGTTCCCTGGTTGCAAGCTTAAAGGATCAGTTACCCCTTCCCATTTTCTGCACAACCTGGCCAATACCTCAGACGTGGCCAGCACCTTCATATAGCGGTAGAACCCGCCTTGCGTAACTGCCGCCTCACCCACTCGCCCATCAGCCTCCAACCCGCCCTCATTGCATTAATTACCGCATACTTGGAGAGCATCTGGAGGGCGGACAGGGCAGGAAAATCTGTGGCTGTGCTAAATTGCACTTCAAAACGAGAGCAGCTTTCCTCCGCACGAGGATGAGCATGAGGATGTGGGTGTGGATGTGGGTGTGCATGCCCCTGCAACTCCACCTCAGTTCTCCTGCTCCTTTGAGAGCCCCTGTCGTAAAGTGTTTGCACGTGAGTTTGTGGGCGCCAACATGCGCTGATTGAGGGTTCCGGTTCCTCCTGCCCCTCCTGCCCTCCTCCCCTCCTTCACTCACACACTTGCACTGGAGAAAGGATAAATGAAGGACGAAGCTTAGGAAAAGAGAGCAACCAGCTCAGCTATATTTTTCCTTTAACACTCAACCAAAACCAAGGCTCCCGAACTATTTACCAAAAATACGACCAATAATAAATATGTGTGTTCAGAAGGCAACTTGTACTCAGAAAATACAATTTATGGCCATATATATTTGTTAAATCATATTAAGTGCCCTGTATATTTTTTCCCGTGCAATTCCTTATTTTTTTTTACAATTTTTTAAGGTTTCCGGTGAAGTGTTGTTCAAGCGCTTTGGCAAATATTTGATTTTAATTTTTCCAATTAATTGGTTTTCCATCAAAAATTTAAAGTCCCAGCGGGACCGATTCATCTATTCTTTTTTATGCCACCACCTACGTGGCGTCATTTGCATGCCACAAAAATCCAGATTTTATTTGCTTGTTTTCTCCTGTCTGACGTTAAATGTCTGACTTCAAGGGGGCGAAAGGACGAGATGGCGGTATAAACACAAAAACTTTGTCCGGCAACCGCAAAATGTGGGGGCGGGGGGGCGTGGCAAATGTCAACTACAAGAAAATTGTCACTAATGAGTGGTAAAAAAGAGCAAGGGCGCTTTGTTTGCATAGGCCGACAGGGCCGGAAATAAGGGGTAAACTAAGAGGCAGCTGCAAATTCTATAAGCCGAGCAGCTGGATGTTGGTCCCCTGTGTACAGTCAATATTGGCAAATGTGTCCGCTGCAGTTCGCTTTGAGGTGGGCCCCCAAACGGAAGGGTTGTTGCGGCTTATAAGCAGCAAAAAGCCAAACGAGAGAGGATAATGAAAACCACTACAAAAGCGCAAAAGTTACACAGAAGCCAAGTAGCCAGCAGTCCTTTGGAGGAACTGGCGCTGGACTGACAACCAAGGCCCTCATTGGCACATAGTGTTGGTTAAGGGTGAATAGAAATATTAAAAAAAAATTAAAGCAAGGTAGATATAATCCTAACACATCGATGCAAATCCGCGAATAGCACATAAGTTTCAATATATTGGAATGCTACAGTATGCAAACGTATTAAAGCATGTTGCATTAAATCTTGTTTAAGATTCTCAAACATACTCGTTAATATGCCAATAAAAAAAGAACACCCCCCAATGACAGGGTAGCTGCGAATAAATCCAACCTCTGGCCGGAACTCTGTGTTTCGTGATAATGAGATAAGCATGCAAATGCCCTAATAGAAAGAGCTGCTCCAGCTTCAATTTTGCGAGCCACTCGACCGCCCCTTTGTCTTTTATTCAGAGGGCGTGGCCAGGGGGGAAATGGAAAAGCGCTGGAGAGCTGAGTAGTCAATTAACAAGCCGAACCGTGCTGCAGGTGGATAACCATAACCCAGACATCGGGCGAAGGAGCGAAGGGGAAAACAGCTCCACCGTTCATCATCGTTTATCTTAATAAACCGCGCACTCAGTCAGACATTAAGCTGGCGAAACCAAAAAGCAGCCAAAAGTCCTTTGGAAAATTGCTTAATTTGCAGTTGGCACTGACGCAGCCAGAAACAGAGTGAGGAAAATCTGATTCAGTGCGAAGGGAGGCGGGGGGCGGGGGGCGGCGTGGAAAAGTGAGCAGATTCAGTGGCAGATTCAGTGCAGCGTTAACGCAAACTTGAAGCGCGGCACGTAAAAATGTTGATAAAACGCACAAAGCCAGTTGATGATTTCAATTTATATTTCCAAGTGGAACTCATCTTTAGTGCTGGGCGGAAAAGCGTAGCCTTTTCCCAGCATTTTCCGCCCACCTCCACCACCGTTACGCGTTACATGTAGCGAATTTGCTGAAGCATATCACGTGCAACATAATTTTTCCAAGCGACTTGCCACTTGCAAGTAAAAGTAGACAGGGGCGTGGAAAAGGGGGCTTAAGCCTGGCGACTGACATGAATGCTCCACGTCACCCAGCTCCTTCTGCCCCTTTTTCCTCTCCGCTGGGAATGTGTATTATGAGCGTGAAGTAGACTAAATAAATTACGTTTGAGCACCAAAGGTGTTACGCACTGGAAAAAATAGTAAAGGGACAGATAAGGTAAGAAGGAAATATCTGCACTCATTTTAGTCCTTAAAAAATGTTAAAACCTTAAAAAAAACTTACCAAATACTATCAGAACATGTGCGAATTCAATTTACAATATTTGCTTTCAAAAAAGTTCAACCTAGTTGCAACGGAAATTCACGATTTACCCATGGCTTGCACCCGGTCACCTTTCGGATGCCGTAAATACCTAAAAGTAGTTAAAAATGCTAATAGCCATAAAATAAGTTGAAAACTTATGCAAGTTTCGATGCGTTTTTCGACTCCTTCAGTATTTAAAGCCCACATAGAAGCCGGCGCCACGCCCACTCCGCAGCGCCTTGCCTTAACTTTAACTTCAACTTGAAGTTGGAAGTGCATTTGGTCCTGGTAAAAGTTTTCGGCAAGCAAATGGAGCAGGAAACAGCTGTCCCTTCATATCTTTTGCATATCAAAAAGTATCGACATAAGGATAGGAGAGTATGGGGAGAAGGATAAAAAGGACATCTTTGCAGCACCCTTCCACTATCTTTGGCACTCTGTTGTGAAATATAAGCAAAGTTTACCCAGGCAAGAGTGAAATGGCGACTTTATTGAAAATGAAGGTCTCTTGCTAAAATAAACTACTTTTGAGTACTTGAGTACTAAAGTTGCAATGCTTTCAAATATACCAAAATATTAGGGGCGCGAAAAAGCAAATGTAATTATTACGATAACGGTTTCACCGATTTCGCCAAGGATTAAATACTTTAACATTTCTCCCACCAACACACACGCAGAAAAAGTATGGATGTGTGAGTGGCTGTTTGCATAGATGAGTGCAAAGTTACATTCAATTTATATGCACTTGCCGAAAAGTTTACACCGAAAAAACTTTGAGCTGGTACGAAAACCAAACATTTTGTTATCGCTTTGATAATGGACTGCAGATTCCCACCCACACAGATATACATATACATACGTACTCTTATGCTATACATACACTTAAAAAGGGGAGGACGTTTATGCATGTATGTGTATATTTTTGCAAGACTTCCGGCGACATCCTTTTTTATATTGGGCTTTATTGATGCTGTAGTCAAAGTTTATTGCATTGGGGACAATTGAATTGCAGACTTGAATTTATGCGAAAGTAATTTAAAACACACTTGAA